AAGCAAACTGAGGAAGGAATGGAACGCATCAAGGAGCAACAAAAGGAGTTCACCAAACTCTTCAAGAGCTTCGCCAAGCTCGTGCGTGACCACCTTGACTCAAGGACGTTTGTTGCCTTTGAGCTTTCCCGTCGCTGTCGCTATTGGCATTGGCCGTCGGTGTTGGCTTTCATCAAACGCCACAACTTGCAAGGATACAACTTCGATGGATGCATGTTTGGTGTGCGAGATGATCACGGTAATCTTATGCGTAAGAGTTGGCACATATGCACAAATCTTCATGAGCTTGCATGTCTTGAGCAATACATGTGCACACATGATCACACTCATGGGCAAAGTAGAGGCAAGTCATTGAAGAGTGCTGAAGGTTACACGTTTGAGTACACCGATCTTGTTCACCGCTGTTTCAAGAATAGCAGCTCAAGTCATTCAGCCGCCGTCGCGCAGCGCGCCCTGCCAGCGATCATTGTTGATCACACCATGTCGGCTGACCAAGACATGCGCAGGGAAACCTTGGACATCTTCGAGTCGCACTTTCGGCAGATTGTGGCCTCTGGCTACTACCTCGAAGACGGATATTCTGAGGACGTGGACGCGGTGCTGAATGGCGTCCTTGGCCAGCACACAGCACATTCTGTGCTGGCGGGCCTGGTCGAGAAGAACCGATGGCTAGAGCCGGAGTTGGGCCCGTTGATTCGGACCTCACGGTATGATCTAGCCGCCTTCACAGGTGTGCCCTCGAGCCAAGATTACCAAACGGTACATATCTTGATCTCTGATTCCACCTTGTGCTTGGTTAGCGGTTCGAAACGCAAACCCCAGAGGTTCGATCTGGCCGATCACTTTCAGGCCTATCGTCCAAGTTACTGCAAGCATTTTCACCACGAATGCCTCTGGGGTGCAGAGTTGCCATTGTTGCTGAAACGAGCCCGTATTGCTGTGAGGAGCCTCAAGCGCCAGTTTCCAGGCTGCATGCTGCTGGTTGGCGTGGTATGGTCTGGCAACGAGCTCATTGGCAAGAAAGGAATTGAAGCCCAGACTTCATGGCCCTTCGATCATCCTGACGGCGATCACTACATGGAGCTACAGGAGAAGGCGCAAGAGGAGCTGGTTGGGTTTGCCGCCGATATGTTTCGATACGGTGTGCACTCGGCCGCTCTCATCAGCGCGCCCGATCCTGAGACCTACAACTTCACGCGGCAGGGACCCTACAGCGACTGGTACAGCCGGCTGAGTCAATGGTTCCAAGATGAGGTGTATGGTTCTCAGGTTGGCAAGTGTCGCTTCCGCCTAGTCAACATCAACGTCCTCAACATCCGCATGGACTTGCGTGACCAATGGCATTGCGAAAAATCGGACGAGAATGCAAATCATATATTCTCATTTTGTCAGAGTGTATTCCACCTGCTCATGAGACTCTATGTTCTCGGAGATATCGCATTGGAAGTAGCTGCCACCAGTCCGATGAACCGTCCGCTCGGTGGACTTGAGCTTCGTGATGATCGCCTCCCTCCACATCAGCGATACGAAGAGCTAATGCGAAATCTTGCCGATGTCCGCCACAAAAGGGCAATCGCCGCAGCCGAGCTCACCGCTCGCGCCCTTACCAAGAAGGACGTCGCTGCGGAGCAGCCAAACCGTGCTGCGCCGATTACCGAGGCAGACATGGCCGTCATCGATGATGAGCCCGAAGGGGAGGAAGCTGATCCAGACCTTTCGGAGATTTTCGTCGCAAATGACGCCACGGCAGAAAAGATCCTCCAGCAACGCCTTGATGTCATGGAGGAAGAGCAGGAGAAGATTGCTGCAGAGCTGGACATCAACCGAGAAACCTATGAAGGTCGGCTCCAGACGCTTGAGGAACTCAGCCATCGCGTCGAAACTGGTGAGAACCCAGCGGCATGGCTCGACATCGATGCCATTGATGATGAGGAGGAATCGCCATATGAGGAGGTCGTGCCAGAAGAACATGAAGAAGAAAGTGCACCTCATGGCGAGCAAGGCTCGGCCGCCATCACTGGCGTGCCCGAGCCTGAGGCACCCTCATCGCCGCCGGCAGCCGGTGCTGATGCAGGCCACGTTGTGTGCCCTCAGTACCTTGCAGACCAATACCACGAGTACACGTACAAGACGGCCGAGGTCGATGGGGCCTTCCAGCAGGTGGTCCAGCTTGGCGACAAGCTATTGCCGCTCCACTTTGCGAGCGGATGGGAGCTCAATGGCGGGCACCTTTTCTTCGCGAAGCCCCTCAAGGATTGGCTCACCCAGTTATCCAAAGTTGTTCGACAACATGACCAATATCTGGGCCTTGAGGTTGACGAAGATGGCTACGCAGACTTGGACGAAGTAGCCAGGTGTTTCGGCCTGAATCACCGCAGTGCCCCGCCGCTCACCGTCAAAGACTTGATCGCCATAGCAGCAAAGGACAAGAAAAACCGATTTGAGTTTTTGGGCATTCGAGAAGGGCACAAACTCGAGGAGAAGGGCGTGGCACTATGGCCTCTGAAGATGCGCGCCGCTGCTGGCCAAAGCAAGCACGCGATCAAGAGCGCACAGGACAATTACAGATCGGCAGCCCTGATGTACTGCAGTCCTGCGCTCAGGCCAGAAGCCAAAGCTCCCTTCATTGGGAAGCCCATTGCCAAAGCGGATGAGATCCCTGCCTTGGCCTACCACCGCACGAGGCCAGCGTGCTGGAAGCGGATCGTCAAGGAGGGCCTTATTCCAGGCGGAGGCGAGTTTGTTGGCAGCGATCGAGCCCATGTCTACCTGGCTGCAAACCGCATTACGGAGACCGACTATCAAAGCGGTCTCCGCGGTAAGCACCCCATTCAGCTTACCGTTGCACTTCGGGAAGCAGTCGATGGCGGTCTCATCTTTTTCCAGAACCGCTCCGGTGGGATCATGACGGTTGACACGGTACCTCCAGAATACATTGTCTTCGTCGAAAACACCGAAAGCCAGTCCACACTCTGGACCAGGGTAAGCGCCGTTGGCCTACCCGAGGCTGCTCCAGCGGATGGAGGTGAGAGCCGGGCCGCCGTCACTGGCGAGCCCCGGCCAACCGCAAAAGCAATGCCTGTTTCCCTGACGGCAACCAGCAAATCGGCACCTGCACGAAAGGCTGCACCTTCGACTCCACCTACTTCCATCGAGAATGTGGCAGAGCAAGAGCAACCTGCAGCATCTTACAGCGGGTACGCTCCGCCTGAGCCTGCGGGGCCTCCACCTGGCTTTGATGCGCCGATCACCGCCCCGACACTTCGAAAGGGACGCAAGCTGACGGTGATCCAGGTTGAATGCAGCCAATGCAAGGGTCTAGTCCTCAGGGGCATGACCCACTGTGACATTTGTTCAGCCGAACTTGCCACCAACACCGAGCTGCCGGAGGAAGCGGTCACCAGACTCTCAGTTCTCCGAAAGCAGCAGCTTGCGAGGGCCGGCCTCGCTCGCACCGAGTGCCCAGTCAGTGACTACATCAAGGCTGGCCTCAATCTGCGTGTGGTGTCTGCAAGCGGCCGTGGAAACATGAGCCCAGAAGCGATCGTGATCCAAGACGCTCGCAGTCGGATGAAGCGTGCAGACAAGTGTGGCTTCCAGAGCATCGAGGATCGCTTCGAGCATGACGTCCAGTTCATGGAACGAATGCTGCAAATGGGCTATGATCATCGGGCAGCGCAGCGGCAGGATTGGCTTTGCCATGCTCACTTGGCGAACCCGCCGCGCAACAAAGCGCAAGTCAGCCTTGGCCTTGGATATGACGAAGATCATTCTCTGGCACGGCTGGCCTACATCGACGTAGCGCCCGATCGCTATCCACAAGCCATGGACTACATTCCTGAGCAATGGTGCGTAATCTATCGCACCAACATCCTCTCCTTGCGCGAGTACATCGAGTACCTCAACTCACCCGACTCCCATCGTGGCCTTTTGGCCTGGGACGGTGTGCATCAGATGAGCCAATACTGCGCATTGGAGGAGCTTCGCCAGCTATGCCACGACAACCTCTCCGCTGCTCGGCGTGACGTGGTCAACAAGCAGACTCAAGAGCAGCGCCAGCAGCAGAGCAAGGGCAAGCGCAAGTCCTCTACCGGAGGTGATGGAACTCCTGCTTCAAAGGCAAAGGGAGGTCCGCCACCTTCACCGGTGAGCCCACGTGCATCCGGATCAGCATCGTCCTCGTGGGGATGGAGCTCATGGAACTGGAGCGAGTGGGGCGAGCAGCGGCAGTGGGACCGCCGCTCGTGGGACTGGAGCTCGAGTCGGAGCCAGTGGCATTGGCGTTAGTTGAGCCAAGTCTCAACCTTTTGCCTGAGCGAGCATAATTCATTGCATGACATCCATTGTCAATATATATGCGGTTTTCCTCCCAAGTCCAAACTTTCAATTTCTTTTGGCGGCGGGGAGTGAATAATTAAAATGCACGTACAGGGCCACGTAGGCAGTGGATTGCTAGCATCCATAACTGCCATGCAGCTTTGAGCCGACATCACTGTCGTGCCCTGCACAAGCCCTCGTGCACTTTCCGCGTCCAGCTTCGGGAGCAAAGCTACCTTAGCTGAGGGGGGTGTATTTTCACTCCATGTAATATGTATACTTTGTACCTTGCACATAGTAGGATGTCATGTCACCTTGACTTCGCAGCTCGCGGCCCAAAACAGGAGTTGCAGCTTAACGGCTGTTTCTATACTAGATACAAGAGAATGTGTGATGCAGCAGAACATAAGTTGGATCAAACTGCCGGCGACAGTTTAAGCACTTGGATATTCTTTATAAGCCAGAGGTGTCACCTTGTGTGAGAGCGACATATGTTACTATGTAGGGGTTGGAGGCTCTTCAGAGATTCTTAGATTTCTCTCGATCTGGATCTCTTGGTTAGTGTCTCCAGTTACTCTGGACAGTTCACCTGGCTCATCCGGACTTCACCTTCCCATCGTCCTCCAGTTCCTGTGAGGCCCCCTTGCCCCAAGGCCCGCCCCTCCCACCGACCTCCATCTCAGGCAGGTGTTCCGCGGCGACATCGGATCTTTGGAGCGTTGCAACGCATGAATGCAACCCAGGCCGGGCTGTGTCCGGGCGAATCCTCGACCCCCAGCGACCCCAGCGACCTTGTCCGTCCGTGCGGAGGATGGACCGGCGACCAGGAGGATCATGGGCTGCTTTGGCAAGTCATACATCTAGAATCACGCAGTTGCCTGGTTGGAACCTCGCTGGCCACTTTGACTTTGTTACCCAAACCTCCAAAAGAAGAAGCATCAGCATATCAAAGAAGGCTTCGCTCGAAGCATTTGCCCCACAAAAAAGACATCAAAGACCAACAACTTTGACTTCTCGTTACTCCAGAAGGATCCCACTCCCGAGTGCTTTTGTTGGAAAGGGGTTTTAGCCCTGCAGGGAGATCATGGTGTCCACTTCTTCATGGAGGGCTTCCCTGGTGCTGACATTGTCCCAGGCAGGGGTGGCAGATTCCCGTTGGAACTGGGAACTACTACTGGTCAGAAAAGCTGGAGCGGAAGGGCAAAAGCTGTTGCAAGATCAGACATGCTATCAGCGCGAGGATATCCGTGGTAGACGAATAGGCAGCGGTTTTGGCACCCAGGTCCTGTATATGTATATACAAAAGCTCCTGTAGTTGGGTCATGATCCATGTCCTCTTTGTTGTCTAGGAATCGAACAGGTCTCCTCATCTTCTTTGTCAGAGCCTACCCGTACTTTTTGCGCACGAAGGTTGATGGAAGAATTCCCGCTTTGCTTTGGTGGAGAAGTCACCCAGACCTGACAGACCAGCAGTCCCACACTCCTGTTCAATGATGTTGTTGTTGTTGTTGTTGTTGTTGTTGTTGTTGGTAGAGACAAAAGCAGCTGCCCAACATAGTTGTCACATGTTGCAAGTCAGGGATTTCAATGGGACACTGTTAGGGATAGGGTCGAAGGTTTGGAGAGATGTTAGTAGCTGGACTTCTTTTCATTGTGGTACTCAAGTCTTGGTTGGTCTGTTTCTTGTTTTTTGATGTTTTTTGGGGTGTTGTTCTGGATGGGGGAGGGGTCAAAAAACAACAACGGGGCTGCAGATTTTGTTTCTAGGGGGGGTAGAGACAACAACATCTTTTGAGGGGTGGTCCAAAAAAACAACAACGGGGCTGCAGTTTTTGTCTCTACGATGTGGTAGAGGTTCTAAGTAGAACTTTTACAGAGGCTTAGCTGACCGGACTACCACTACTACTACTACTACTGCTACTGCTACTGCTACTGCTACTGCTACTACTACTGCTACTACTACTGCTACGACTCCTACTACTACTACTACTACTACTACTACTACTAGTAGGCTACTACTATGCTACTACTACTAGGCTACTACTACTAGGCTACTACTACTAGGCTACTAGTACTAGGCTACTAGTACTAGGCGACTAGTACTAGGCTACTAGTACTAGGCTTCTACTACTAGGCTACTACCACTAGGCTACTACTACTAGGCTACCACTACTAGGCTACTACTACCAGGATACTACTACTAGGCTACTACTAATGGGCTACTACTACTAGGCTACTACTACTAGGCTGCTACTACTAGGCTACTACTACCAGGCTACTACTACAAGGCAACTACTACTAGGCTACTACTACTAGGCTACTACTACTAGGCTGCTACTACTAGGCTTCTACTACTACTACTACTGCTACTACTACTACTACTACTACTCCTCCTGCGACCACTACATAACGACTACTACTAGTACTAGTACCACTAGTACTAGCACTCGTACAAGCATTGCCACTACTGGTAAAAGTCCATGTTGGCTGGTTGTTTTCGGGGGGGGTCAAAAAAAAACAACGACGGGATTGCAGATTTTGTTTCCACCCCCGTAGAGACAAAGGAACAAAATATTTTGTAACGTGGCTGCAGTTTTTGTTTGTACCTTGTTGTTGTTGTTGTTGTTGTGTCATGCAGGAGGTGCAAAATTTTCGTCAATTTTACGTGTGACCTGTGACCATGTTTTGATGCCGGGCCCAGCAATGTGAAAGAGATCCTCACAAAAGTGGTGCAGGAATTTTTTCCGTCAGCAGGAGTATTTTTGCAATCACCTCTCCCATCTCTATCTCGAGGAGCTTAATCCAGAAAAAGATTGCTTGACATGTGCCGGCACCATACTCAACTGCATAGATTGCATTATGTTGGCAAAGGTCTTCGAACAATATTAGAGAAATCTGCTTGTTGCACTAGAGATGTGAACTGCCGTGGCGTGTTGTCGCATAGGGCTCCATATCCGTCATATCGGCGTTAGCTAAACCCAGTTGTTTGCTGTTGGCAAGTAGACTCCCTAAGCACGAGGCAACTCCATGAGGCTACAAATGTGCAAAGCACTTGCATATTACGTGTTTCTGCTAGCTGCTAGCTGTGAATGCCAGGTGTAATGACTCTTTACTTGATAGCTTGACCCATCCCTGTCTTCAGCAGGCTTGGTCTTTAGATGAGTTCCTGGTCCTGTGCCCACCCGATTTGCAATTTTTATTTTGATATTTCCTCCCTTGGCATGTTAAACGCCATGCGTTGAAGTCAGCAACCTTTAAGCTGGCACCGCAGACTTAGCTCCACAAGAGGGTGAAGAAGTGCTGTGGCGGCAGCGAATGCGTGAGGGGCCCCGGTGGGTGCGGATGGCAAGGCGTTTGGACAAGCTTAACACCCATGCATCTTCTAGCCATTATCGCTCGTGTACAATTGAACAAGTACAACTTCCGCTTTCCTTGACTTTTCGTTCATGTTTCTAACGAACTTAACAAGGCATCACCAACATTTTGCATCAGCTATGGTGTTTCAATAGTCTTTTTTGCACAGGTCCCACAGCTCCTACCCCGTTTTTTCGGCTGTCGCAGGCTATGACAACCGCTTGGTTGACCTTTTGAAGTCCAAAAATGTGACAAAAGCCACTTGGCAAATGTTGCGCGGGACTAAATGGACCAATTGAGGACGCCCAGGATGTGTAACACCCTGGCGAAGGACGACACTAACAATCGGATCAAACTTTTGAAAAGGACTGGGATGTGGCCATTTGGACTGGGATGTGGAGCCGAGAAGCATCCACTGTTTGCAACATATCCATTTGGCAGGTGATCGTTGTCTGATACATATATATATAATTATATATATACATATATGTATAGTATATTTCTTTTCTGTGCATGGGCATTCTTGCAGTCTTAGTCTTCAGATCACCGGATTCGTTCCGGGATGCGCCCAGGTCGTTCTGGGCGGTTTGAAGACGGGGCAAAGTCTGTTGGCCGCTGCCGAGCTGCTGGCCGATGAGGGTCTGCTGCTTTACATCGCGAACCTGGGACCGAGTGAAGACGGTGCTGGTCGCGATTTCTGTTCCAATTAAACTTCGGCTTCGTAAACATTCGCGGAAACGGATTTTACCCGCTTCGCCATTTGGAACTGTTGAGGTTTCGCAAGCGTCTGGACTTTGGCGAAACTGGACGTTGGGGGGGCATCTTCTTCATTTTTGTTTAACGTTTTTGCAGAGATGTTGGCGCCACCGCAAACGCCGAGCCCCGCACCGCGTTGACCGGGGAGGTTGTTCGGCTGAACGTCGGCTGAACGTCCGACGTGAGTGCGGTGCCCAGGCGCGAGTGCGTGGCCGACGACAAGATTGATCGTGGGGAGGCGGTGTGGGGGAGGCCCAGCGGAAGGATGGTAAGGCTGGTAAGGGATTTGAGGTAGCTTTTATGCAGGTTTTTGGACTGATTTGGCTTTGGATGGTGGCAAGAGATGTTCTGTGGTTTTATTTTTATTTTTTGCGTGGCTCTTGACACCACAAGTTCGTGTGTTTGGAGTATCTAAGGCTACAGCACGTGCTTCCATTCCTGGCAGATGCGGGAGCCCTTGAGGGCAAATTGCCAAGAAACATCTTTCAGATTGCTTGGATTACTTTGCAAAGATACATCAATATTTCTCCTTTCGGACACGAGACGTTTCATACAGAGGGGAGAAACATGGAGAAGAGGCACCTTCGCTGCTGGTCTCTGCATGAACTCCAGATAACTCAAGCGTGCATCTGGGTGCTTGTGGAGCGTCCCCTATCCTTAGTTTCAATGCTAACTTTCTCAGGTCTTTCACTTCGAGGATTTCCGGACGCAGCTGGCGCACGAGATCATGATTGACATGAGCTCCACGCTTGTTTGAACCATGCTGCTTAATAGTGGCATCTCAGCGGCAACACATGTCAGACATGTGGTCCCTTCGTGATCCATCTGCCAACCCTAAAGCTTTTTGGGTCCTTCAATTCGAGAGGAATGATGATCATGATCATGCGCTTTCAGCCAGGTTTGTCGAGTTCAAGACCGTGAAGAGAGCTGGCTAGAAACCTGAGCTGTATTTTCCAAAGGCAGCTGAACTGAAGTGGCATTTCCGTGCGCACTTCCATTTAGTTCAAAGGATCACTCGATGTAGCGGGCCAAAGGATTTGGGTGAAGCAATTGTCCCAAGCATCTCGAGTCATACTAACCTGGGTATGGCAGAGAAATAAGATGAAATAAGTACCGGCCAAAGCCCGCTGGTGAAAGGGAGAACGGTCTGAAACTGCAAGTTTTGTGGGTCCTAACCCATATTCTCTGTGTTTGACTAAGTTGTACTTCACCCAGACAAGCCAGCTGCATCGGCAAATCGACCAGCTTGGAGTGACGTTGGAAGAAATGGCGGCAGAAGAGGCAAGCGAGGGCATTTGATCTTGGAGTTTTGTACCTAATCAGATTTGGTCTCACTTGGTGAACGACAGCAGCTTGTCTTTGTGTTTTGCCCAGCCAGTCTTTCGCGCATATCAGGTCCGGCCAGTCTTCTGGAGCCCTGATGGGCGTGCGAAATTGAGGGCAGGTTAGTCAGCAGTTAATGGGCGATGCCGAAGTCGTGGTTGGTTTGAGCCATGTCCAGCTGGTTATACCCCCAAGCCGGACTGGTGGCATTCTTCCCAAGCGAATCTGCCAGGAAGTAAAGACCTCCTGTACGTGCACACGCAGCATTATGTTAGTTTCAGGATACGCTGGTGTAGCCTTCAACCAGTACCACGCAGACTCTCGGCTTCTGTCAGCACAACGGACCTCTCTCGGCTTCTGTGCAGTGACCGAAGGGGCGTGGTTGGCACTGGAGAAGGTGCAAGGTCGAGGTAACGTTTGGAAAGTCTTGCTAAGAAGCACTGGCTGCATGTGCCACTGGGAAAGGACGTCCTTTCCCCAGAACCACTTCACCTTTGACACCGCCGTATTCTTTGTGATGTGCGACATGGGCCCATCCATCCCCCTGAGACAGGAATGCGCGTACGCGAGCGCGCGACCACGTGACACCAACTTGACACCCACGTGAAAGGAAAACACGAGGGACTTTCAAGCCGAAGCTCAGTTGACACAGGGTAGCTCAGTTTGGCACTCTGTAGACCGGTATTTTTCGAGTTTGCCCCTGGACTTGACTGTGCTGGATTGAGAGGGTGCTGTCAGATTGCGGGAACACATCTCAGAGAAGCTGTTTGCAATGCTGAGAACCAAGGTCACTAAGGTCACAATGGGAGGGGTAGGGGAGGTACCAGGTCACAAACCGCTTCTCTGTGGCGGCTCGATAATGTTAGTGGCCAGCGATCTGAAGTCAAATTCACGTGATCCACCAAAGATTTCTGGTTCGCCTTTACCCTAATCCGACCTTTTCAAAGTTTCTTTTGGGACCATTTGCATAGCGTTGTCTGGTGATCGCACATTGTGTGCCACAGCAAGATACTCTGCATTCAAGGCCAGAGTTCATGCATTTGCGAGGTTGTTTGGGGCGCGCCTCTGGTCGCTCGGATTCTGTCTCACTCACTTCCGTCGCACTTTGGGTTCGGCGGTGTATTTGTTAGTGAGGGCTAAAAAGAAGCTTGCCGTCGCAGACTTGGCTCGATGATCGACCTCGTTGGACACGGGACCTGGGGGAGCTAGCTGATCAACCTCCACCATTGAATGCGTCGCTGTTCGGGAGACATTTGCCATGGTTTTTGGACCGCTCCGATGGTATCGATACGGATCATGTCCCGGAGCTTTTCGAGCTTTCCCCTTTTTGCCACTTTTTGGGGGAACCTGTCATCAAGTGTGGGGACGTCTCCACGGAAGACTAGAAAGTCCAGGAAGGGAGGTGGACCAAGGCAGGAAGTGGCGAAGTGGCAAAGGAGACCAAGAACACCAAAAAGCCACAGACGACATGGTGGACCGATCTGGTGAATCATTCTTCGACCTTTGAACAGCCGGTCGGGTCACTGCGGTCACTGGAACCGGGTTCGGTTCCGGTTCCGGTTGGGCATTTCTTCTCGGTTCCATGGGCAGAATCTCGCCAGAGACTTTCATTTTTTAGATCGTTTTTGTGTGGACGTTCGAACCAGATGACCTGGTGGATCAGATGCTCGTTTTTCCTCGTAAATTCCTCCTGGCTCGAGGATGCCCCGCAACGGTCGGGGCTGGGATCTGATGGAGATGTCCCTTGGCTGCGAACAGGTGAACAGCCACAGTCTGTCACTGGCGAACGTCCACATGGATCTGACATGTAGAGATGAACGTTTCGATCTTCTTTTTCGAACCCCCCTGATGCGCCGAATGATAGGATGCAGTCGACTGGTCGTCGACTGTACAGCCGTCGAATGTGGCGTCGACCGAGGCAACAGACAAGGTGCGACAGCCTTCGGTCCTGGTGTGCGTTGTCATTGCGAATGCAGGATGCAGGATTGAAAAACGCCCATAAAGGCTTTGACGTTTTAGAAGTCGGTATGTAAGAGGCGAAACGGTGTTTTCTTCCGAAGAACTGGCCGGAGCTGTTCTCAGTTCTTGGAGCTCGCGACGCTTTCGTGTTTTTCTTTGGTTCGTCATACCATATCACCGGTGGGGTCACGTCCCATTTGCCACACTCCATCGCTATTGCAGGTCGCGAGCTGGCCAAAGCTCGGTGTCCCTGACGCCGGCCATGCTTCGCCGAAGGCCAGGGAGGGCGGTGTCCCTGGCGGCGGAACGGGCGACCGATCGTCGAAGGGGAGCTGCATCGCGGTCCTCTCGCTGGCCGCGGGAGCTGCGACGCGTCGGGTCTAGCAACCCGATTCTTGTAAATAGCGATGGCCTCCAATCATTCAATCCTAACAGACTATATAAGTCCAAGAAATCCAAGAAGCCTGAGAGGGGAGAGCCCTTTGGCCAGGCAGGCAGCCTCATTCCTGCTCCTGGACTCTTCAGATCACATGGAGGCGCTGCGATGTTGCAGGGCTGCCGAAGGACTGGTCTTGCTGCGATGTTTCAGTCCCTGAATCCGCCCGAAACAAGCTCCAAAACCAGGGCGTTGCTTGGAAAGATTCACATCACCAAGGTCTTGCTGTTCAGCTCTGGGCTCTACACGTCGACTCCAGATCCATGATCCGACCACAGACCGGCGCCACAGGCAGAGGTGCTGACAGACCCAGGCCTTGGAGGCCTTGGAGGCTTCGGACCCGCTGACGATCGACGTCGGCTGTGGGAAAACACCGAGCGCTGGACCAAAGGCCTTTCACGGATGAGACGTTTGAGGTGAAGAATGGTGAAAACAAGACACACCACGTGAATGCTAAGCACAAGCAGAGACCGAGAGCAACTGGAGATTTGCCCGTTTTCTGCATTTGTGACGCAAACATGGTCACGATGGATTCTTTCTGCTTGCCTTGTTTGTGCAGGGGATGCAGTGGCACCGACCGGAAAGCACCTGGCGACCTCTTTTAGTGGCCGGATGCTCAGAAGCTTTGCACAGATGCAGCACTTGCTAACTCTCACACCCTGAAAGCACCGAGAGCTGCTCGCGCTCAGCGGCTGATTTCATGTGAACAGCTCAGCAGCACTTCTTCCTGCAACTTCTACGTTCGAAGCTTCCAATTTTTGTTCAAAACTCTTAGAACTCTTGGTAGTTTTTTTCCTTTCCCACCATTTTTCCACCCAACGAGCCGACTGGCGGTCTCGTCTTTCTTTTTGCTCGCACCGACACGTCGAGACGCCGCGAGTCGTCTCAGTCGTCTCAGGTCATGGGACGGGCACTGTGGGGGCGCCGAGGGAGTGCAGTCTTTTTATTTGTTGTGTTAGTTGTGTGTGTGTTTTTCTTTTTTTTTGAAATGATCTTTTTAAGGCCAGGTATAAAGAAAGGAAAGAAGGATCCTTATGGACCCTTCTTTGTCCCTTTTCTCTTACCTAAAGCTTTTGGACATGCCAAAAAACATCGTTATCTATTGTTGTGTCGCGTTCCAATAGATGGCCGCCACACCGTGCTTTGAGGGGGCGGTGGCGGGTGACCTTCACCAAATCGTGGCAGACCCCTACAAGATTGCTGACTCCGCGGTGCCTCGGCAGAAAACGCCGGTTCTAAGCGGGTGTTGGTGGGCTTGACCAGCTGGGCTTGCCCTCATGGGTCAAGGAAGAACACCCCTGCATTGGCATATCCCACACTTTCCAACATGGCATGAGATTTGAGCCAATGACCAGTTTGCCATTTTCTTTTAAATCATTTTTTTGTTTAGAAATTATGTGTGTGTTGATGAATGCGGGGAGATGATCATCCGTCTCTCAAAGAAGAACGGGTCCGGTCACAGCCCCGACCAACACCGGCTCAAAAACTGTTTGGTCCAACGGTTCAGACGGGGCCGGGCTTGGCGTCGAACAGACCCGGAAGACCTCATGGAAATTCTTCCAAGTTGGCTCTGAAACAGGACAAGCGGTCGGAGACTGGGCCTGTTTTTCAGAGCCTTAACAGGACAAACGGTCGGAACGTCCACCCGGATTTGATAGGGCAGAGGAGTCGGGCAGCGAAACGAAGTGGTTCAAGTGGTTCTTTCGGTCGCGGGCAGAGGATCGAAGTGGCCAGTTGGGCTGTGAGACCCTGCCCAGTTGATAGTTAGTTCATCGCCAGACTTCTTTTGTGGTTAGATGTTCAGACCTCCCTTTGAAGAGAACAGTTGAATTTGTTTCTTTTTTTTTTCGGTGTGCCCCCATGGCGAAGTGCCCTGTTGGGGTGGCAGGATCTACCTTTGGCACTGCCTCGTTGGATTCCGTTCGATCGATGTCACTGAGATGTGGGCCAAGCTCATGACCGATGCCGCTGGGTTTGCATGACCGAAGGGCATGGGTGCTGACGGACCGAGGGTGGATGTGTCTCAAGGGTCTCCAAGAATTTTGGCCTTCCGTGATGACTGAAAGGGAGCCCGCCCTTTTGAGCCCCCAAGAGGAATTTGAGACTTGCTTTGCTAATCTTTCCTCGATTTTGAGGGTGGCCGCAACCAGTTCTGATTTTGAAGCAAGACATGACTTCATGTCAGCTTTTTTCAAGTCTTCAGTGGCCACGGATTTGGAACATCTCAACTGACGAACTTCCCGAGAATTGAGATGGATGCGATCTCCCCGAAAGGACCTTAAGGCCCAAAGAAGCATCCCTTTTGCTGCCCACGTCGCCCCTGGTCGATCCCATGGGCCCTCCCTGGTCGATCCGTGGCGGCGTTTCCTCGTTTTGAGGTCGCGGTGGCCGCCAACTTTGGGGTGGGGGTTCTTGGGAGGGTTCTCGGACCTCCGACGTTTTGAACAATCCGATGAAGTGGAAAAAGGAGAGGCAGGTGAGCCAGTGAGCCTGTGGAGAGTCGGTGTGAACATGTGGATGAATTGGTCCACAAGCGCACACACACACACACATTGACATTGACATTGGTTCGTGGAAGGGCCATCAAAGTGAGCTAGTGAAGATGACAGCTAAAGGGTGGGGCGCTGCAAGTTCTTGCTGTGCTGTGTAAGGGTCTTAGTGAAGGATAATATGGTACAGTCAATGTATACTCACTAATTATATAGTTAATGTCGCGGATTGATTTGAGCGCATTGCCGTGTTTTGACACCTTGTATCCTGAAATATACAAAATTAGATATTCTGCAGAGTTACACACACACACACATTTAACACAAAGGTGATTTCATTCCAGGGATTGAAAGAGGAACATGGCTGAGTTCATCCGGTTTGATATGGAAATAGACGAGAGTCTCGTTGACATGTGGTAGGTTCCGAATCGCAGCTACCCTCCGATCTGGCAAGACTATGAGGGTAGCTGCGACCCAGCCAGCTCGTGCGAAGCCCAAGTCGTGGAGGGCCTTGCAGAGCTGCAAGCTGCGTCGCAGGCGCTGATCCTCACCTTCCTGGGCGCTGCCTACCACGCTTATGGCTATGTGCAGCTGCGCAATGCCCAAAAGCAGGCGGCGTTTTTCTTCAGCCCGCCATGGAGTTTTCATGCCCTGATGTTGCAGGCTTTTGCACCAGGCAACCCATGCTTTGAATATGGGTAGAGTCTAGTCTCCCAAAACCAAGTTGGATTGAACCTCTTTGGAGAATCTTCTTTATCAAAACTGTAAACTGTCCGCCCTCGCACCAGCAGAGCACCAGCGGTGCCAGGCCTCTCGCTCCCAGGGAGGAGGTCATGCACATCAGTCATGAGAGCGAACGCGCAAATAGCTCGAACGCTGCCCGAGCCCGAAAAGCAGGGGCTCTGCGGGTTTTGAGCGGATTTTAGGGGTTTTGGATGTGGCTGGCTCCGATGGATTGTAGCAGTCAGGACCATGGGTTGGGTTTTGCCGATAACAGATGGACACACAAGACATATGCTCAATTCATGGTTTGCGCATCCATGGCGAGTCTTCTCACCTCGATCATTCTCACTGTAGCCGTCGGCCAACTTGTGAGTTCAACACAGACCCCTTGGAGCTGAATGCCACAGAGCCCCTGACAGAAGGATTCATCAGCAGCTTGGAACACCTGTTGAGATCAGCAGATGCCCCTGACAAGAGCAATTTTGCAACAACGTCCCCCCCAGCCAGACTTGTCAGTTCTACAACAAGTCAATCTTTCTGCACCAGTTGCTACAGAGAACCATGGGATGATGGAACCATGCAGGTCAGGTTTCCATGCGTTTTTGGAGGAAGAAGAAGGGGAAGAAGGAGCATGGAAAACTGGCAAACTGGTTATCCACGAGTCTTTGGTGGGTTGAAGCTGACAATGTGGTCTGCTTGACTAGTCACTTTTTCAAAAAGCACCTTGGAACTTCACACCTTAAGCCGCGCATGGCGGCCGCACCCGATCCGCGTCAGACGGATTTACATGCGTTCCGGGCCCCGGAGCGTCGTCGCTGGTTGGAGCACAGCAAAAAGGAGAAGAGTATTAGGATACGGATGATTCCTTTCGAAAGCCCAGGTCATCAAAAGGGAACGGCTGTTGCGTAAGCTTTTGTGAGTCCTCTCCGTTTTGCATCGATTTTCTTGTTTTGTTTTTTGGATACTGGGTTTTGCAGTCGTAAAGCCACGGATCTGAAGAATGCAGGACCAGAAACGCATGGTGTTTTGGGTGTTGACAGATGTTACTTCATGAAGGAAGTTCAGATGCCCGTCTCTTGGGGGAAGCCTGTATATTCAGAGTCCATTCATGTCCGTTCTGTTCATTTTTCATCAACCAGTGAACCGTTCCTCAAACAACACCTGGCAACTGCGTTCGCAGCCAGTCGAACACCCGCGCAAGCCCCCCACGACGAGGTTTTATGGCTACGTCCACTTTGAGCCGGACTGGACGAGATATGGCACCTTCACCAGGGTTGCTTGACCGGATTGTCCAAGTCAGTCGAAGTGAGTTCGATCGCGGCGTATTAAAACTAAATAGATCAATGATCAATGTATAAAAATGAAAAACATATACAGAATATCATGTCCATCCATCCATCCATCCATCCATCCATCCATCCATCCATCCATCCAT